ATTAAAAAATATTATGGTTTAACGAATTAAAATAATGTAAAAAAGAAATGAATTTTTTCGGAAAAGCATCACTAAATACATTTAACGTTAAAATTACTGTTTGATGATGAAAAAACAATCACAAGCATAGTCATTTAATAATACATCCACATATATATTATATAGCGTGTACAAGGGAAACGGCAATAAAACATCCGGATACAATGGCGTGTGTAATCGAAGCGAGTACAAGTTTATCATACACCTGTACCTATTACTACTGCTGCAGCGAAGTGAGAAAAAAAATTACGAGCAGAAAAACGGACCTTCMYGCCCACTATAAAKATTTCGTCGCATTTTTAGAAAACCGCGTATATAATATAATACGTCATGCACAATAATAATAAGCCACGCGTACCACGTATACACATCATCATAATTCATATGTATACGAATTACTCTATATCATTCTTTATTATATAATATATATTAATATATGTACCTGGTTGCATATACCTACACCATATGATGGCGCACTGTGGTAAGCGGGGAACTTTGGACAGATTATTTTCCATCGCATACAGTACCCACCTATGATATAACAATAACTTTAATATGTAATATGTAAAACGTATTTGAAAATTTTGAATTGTATATCTACCGCAATAACGTGTCGAGCGAACAACGCGCATGTTAATATGAATATATTATTGTTACAGTGCCAGGTACCTATACATGTGACACACACACACACACACACACACACACACACACATATACATATACACACACACACACACACACACACACACACACACAGTCTAGTCTTCCCCGCTCGGCCGTTTCGCAAAAGTCTACCTTACAATAACTATACATATACGATTTATATATATTGTTATAATACAAGACGAGACCGTTGCCGACCCTCACCACCAGGGCATCGTCAATCGTCATCATCATCATCGACACCGCCGCCGCCGACACAACTGCTGTTGCTTGAGTCGCGCGTCTAGTCCGCGAGAGTTGTTACAAAGCGTTATAGTGGTCTCGACAACTCTGGTTTTTTTTTCTTTTTTTTTTTCCATCATATTTTCTTTGCTCCACGCCGTCGTGTCAC